TTTTGTTTTTTTTTTTTTTTTTTTTTTTTTTTTTTTTTGGTTTCTTCGAGACAGAGTTTCTCTGTGTAGCTTTGGAGCCTATCCTGGCACTGGCTCTGGAGACCAGGCTGGCCTGGAACTCACAGCGATCCGCCTGCCTCTGCCTCCCAAGTGCTGGGATTAAAGGCATGCGCCACCAACGCCCGGCTATTATGTGGTGTTAACTGACACTAGTTTAGTTGTTCTAACTTCTTCAAAATTACCATCTTATTAAACTGTTTTAATTTTCTGTAAAAAAAAAAGTCCTCCAATTGTGTTATTCTATATTGTATACTTTCCTTTAAACTTTTCCCCCTTTAAAAAAATTTAGTTCATTTTTAATGTGTGTGTGTGTGTGTGTGTGTGTGTGTGTGTGTGTGTGTGTGTGTGTGTGTGTTTATGTACACATGTGTATGGATGCCTGTGGAGACCAGAAGAGGGTTTCAGATCCCCTGGTGCTGGAGTTAAAAGTGGCTGTGAATCACCCATTGTAGGTGCTAGGAACAAAACTTAGGTCCACTGTAAGAGCAACAAGCACTCCTAACCACTGAGCCATTTCTCCAACCTCAACTATTTTAAGACTTCTCAATTTTAAATCTTTTTAATGCTTAAATTTACATGCTGATTATAATAGTCCCTCACTAGAATCAGCCTAAGTCTCTCACACAAAGTCCAAGTGCACCTACTTCAAACTACTTGAAGCCATTTCTGGCTTATATATAATGTCTAGCACAACACAGATGCTATGTAAACACCTGGTATGCTGCATTGTTTGGTGGTTTCAAGGAGAAGTACTGGTGTGGTTTTTCAAAGTATTTTAACCCACACTTAGCTGCATCTACAGATGCAGAACCCAGGGATAAAGAAGGCTGGCTATGCTTGTTAAGTTTTCAATCTTTATCTTTCTGCCTATATTCTTAGCATAGATTTGATGGTTGGAATGACTTGCACTCATCTCAAATTATACATATTTTATCTTATTATAATTTAAAACTTCTTAACCTTTTTAACAGATTTTTAGTTCTTTTGGCTAACCCCTATGGGAGCTTTGTGCTCTTAATTTTCTAGCTTAAGAAACAAACAAACTTACTTTCATCTAGAACCTTACACCTTTTCTTTATTCCTTAAGTGTCCTTTACCCTTCCTATTTTTCTCATCATTTCCTGCTTGGGATGTGCAATAATTTTAGACACATACATCCATTTGCAGAGACAAGGAAAGAGCAGGGTTTCTGGGGGGTTTGTTCCTTTAAGGAGAAGCCAGGCCTTTGGTCCAGACCTCTTCCTGCCACAACTCCACCCCAAAGGCCAATATCCTTTCCAAGGTGTCAGCAAGGATGGTAGCAGAGGCAAGGTGTGGCCCCATCATGGAGGGTTACTCAGGAAAACTCTGGGTTTAAACCCTGGCACTGCTCCCAGAAAAGCCCCAAGTATGTAACAGGTGACAAGGAAGATGGAGAGGTTTCTGTACAAATAAAATTCCGTAAAAATAAATAGTTTCTTTTAGGAAAGTGACCTCATCTATGGGAAGGGGATATACTACTAAATGTTTCTCAAAGGTACTGAGGCATGCTGTTGTATTGTTTTTTCATAAAAAAAAAAAAAAAAAACTAAGGTACCAATAATTTTTGGGGATATGATGCCTTATAAAATTCTTTTAAATCTCTTGCATATACACCCTCCTGTCAAAGGGACTGACTCACCTCACAGGCAAAGCCTTTGTCGTTTGCTCTGGAAGCTCAGGTGGGTTCACGAACATCAGTCTGAAGAGGAGCTCCAGGTAGCCAATGTGTCTCGCCAGTCTGGTACTGAGGGCCCAGGCCCAGTTCCAACTCTCTCCTTCCCTCCGTCCACCAAAGTAAATGACAACTGAAATGCACAGGTCAAATTAGTCAGGCTGCTTGGTTTGTCACAGTCAACTATCAAGTGAAGGGGAGCTAACCCTGTGTGTAACTGTGACCATGTAACTGTGACTGTCCACACTGATTTTTAAATACTCCTCCAAGAATTCTCAAGTAACCTTCTTGGCATACAAAGGTGTGTGAAACTGCTAAGATTAACATGGCCTATGAATCCTAAGTAAAAGTCAAGCCTTAGAGTCTGGTGGGTAGTCACCACTACTGTAAAAGACAGTGTGACAGTTAGTCAGTCCTGCTGCAGTATTAGCATGCAGGTACACTGGTCCTTAAAGCTACTCCAGCCAGATTTAAACACTGGTATGCTAAAACAACTTACAAAGGAGCAAAAGGATCATTTTTTTCAGCCAATTATGAAAATCAAGTAGATTTTTAAGAAACAGATTGTTTAAGTAACACATGCTCAATGTTATTCTCCATATTTTGAAAAAGGCTTTAGAAAGTCAAAGACTTACTGAAGAATATATATAAGAGAGCCAGGCAACTCAATGAAACTGCTATGGCGAGATTTGTATCAACTGTAAAAGCAAACACTAGGCCCAGCCCCCCACACAGCAGCAGGGTGAGGAACACAATGAGCCATGAGAACTGGAAAAGGGGCTCAATCTGCTGTCCTGCAAAAGTCTTCATTTCATCTGAAAGAAAAATTAATGTGAAGTTTTACTTGTTTTGCTTAGATGTAACTTTTAACTCATTCTTTAACTTTCCTGTTTTAATATAATATGTATTGGATCCTTAAGTGCCCTAGATAACACTGCTGCTGCTTCACCACTTAAACCAACATTTTCTTTTAATCAGACTGAGCATCCATTCCCCTGGTGCACACTTACCCTCATCTCCCAGTCCTGAAGATGCATAAAACTCTCATGTCTGTTATTCTCATCTGTCAAGGTTGTACTGACACTGGGTTTTGTGGTTTGTACTAAGTAAAGTATTACTCACATATGCAAAAACAGAAACAGGACTCCATCTTCAAACTATACATGACCTCCATTCCTCTCAGACCCCTCAGCCTCCCACTGAAGTTCTCAGAGGTACATTAAGTATAACAAGAACCACAGTTATTCTTTCTACTAAATTTTATATGCACACTGTAGCCTGTCCTTGAAGAGCCAAAGGTACATGTGTTAGGCCAGGGGCCTCTGACAGCAGGAAGGCCTGGATTATCAGCAAGGGCATTTGGTCCTGACCACAGCACAGAACTTATGGGAGGCTTTGCAAACTCGTGTGTGAAGAACCCACTTCACTGCCCGCACACTACCAAGGGCTGCGCTGGGTGCTGGCCCACAACCGGACCTGTTTCAGACAGAAAACTCACGGAAGGGTGAACTAGAGAGAGTGAAATGCCAATCACCCCAGCGGATGCTGTGACAGGGTAACCACACTCAGAGCTTTTACTGCACAAAAATAGTGCTGTCTGCAAGGACTTCATTAAAGAATTCTTTACCTTCTAGTTTCTTGAGTAAGAAAGACTTCCCACTTCCCCACTGTGCATACAACCCCACACAAATGGGTGGCTGCATGGTAGGCTCACTGAGAATGTCTGCCAGGGCGCTGCTATACAAATCGTAACCAAGCATGTCGCCGTCTGTTTCCGTAGGAGACAAGTGTCCTGTGATTAGAAGCACACCACATCCTTACATTAACAGTGGCATCACTTAAGAAGGAGTACCAGTTCTAAACCACTGTTCATGGGGGGAGGGGGACCTTATCTCGACCATTTAAGACTCTGTAAAAACAGCTTCAGATTCTTACACAGATACTATATTTTCAGGAACATAATGTATCTATTGTAAAATATCTATTACTTAATGATAAGATACATCATCTTATAGCACAGCTAAGGAAAAAATGCTGACAAATTAACAAATTAGACACAATGCTCGCTCCTCTGCCACTTATCACATATTCCAGGGTTGGGGGCACAGATCTGCAGCTCTATAGCACTGCAGCAGACCACTGCTGCCATACATGAGCCTTGGGTCCAATCTTTACAGCCATTGGTGGGAGAAAAGTTCAACATATTTCAACTGCAGAAATTTTTTTAAAAAATAGAACATATAAGTGTTAATGAAGAATATAATAGACAATCAAAGACAAAATAATTCTTGGCAAAAGATTTAATGACTCAGACAGCAATTCTTCCTATGTTAAGACAATTCAAACAAATAAACAGCACCAAAGAGATTATTTTTAAAGACAGAAAACCAAGATGATGGAAGAGGAGCTGGGGAGGTGGCTCAGTGTTAATAGGTTTCCTACTCTTACTGACGACACAAGTTTGGTTCTCAGCATCCATACTGAGTAGTTCAAAATGGCCTATAACCTAGTTCCCGGGGATCCAACATTCTCTTTTTGTTTCCACAGGCGCGCGCACACACACACACACACACACACACACACTCGCACATGCAAACATATGTACGTACGCACGTAGCACAGATTCACAGACACAGAAATATACACATAAATAATTTTTAAATATTTTTCAAAAGTGTAAGACTATCTAAGAGTGTTTAGTGTATTATCATGAGCATGGGAAAGGACCACACGTGTGTAGGTAGGTCAGAGGACAACTCAGTGCAATCAGTTCTGTTCTTCCAACTGGAACCCAAGTTCCAGGAATCAGGCTCAGGTCACCAGGCTTGACCAGCAGGAGCCTTTATCCTTTGAAACACCTCACCAGCCCAGAAACAGTTTTTTAAAAAAATCTTTTTGTTGGTGAGGTGACTAGGGAGACACATATATACATGTAGGCAAAACACTCACAGATGAAATAAAATGAATAAACCTAATAATAAAAATCTTTTAAAATCTTCTTTTGGACCAGGTGTATTAGACCATTTCTCTGCCATATATTTTTACTTGAAATTCATTATTTAAAAACCCAAGCAGGAGTGCTGAGTTGCTCAGAGGTAAAGCTTTTGCCTAGTATTGACAGGGCCCTGGGTTCAAACTCCAGCAAAGCACACATGCACATGCACATGCACATGGACACAGACACATGGATACACACAGATCAATGCACATACATACACACATGTACACACAGACACACAAACATATATGCACACAGACATACATATACCACAAAGACACAACATACCATTGTGCATGCACAGGCTCAATCAAGGACAAAACTCATCACTTACTGGCTCCAAATATTTGTGTTAAAATGCTTTTCTGGTGACTGCAGTCAATGTTATAGGGAGTCTCGCCTGCTTTGTTGGGCCTGTAAAGTAGCCGCCCATCTTTGGGGTTCCGTAAAAGAAGTTCTGCCAGTCTCCGGCTCCTCCCTCGGATAGCAACATGCAGGGGAGTGTCACCTTTCTGTAAAACGGCAGCACAAGCTGAACTTCTCATCCTCAGGCCAGCACTAAGCAACACTTTTCATGCCTCTATAAAGCAGACAATCTAGAGTTTATGTTTTCATAAATGGTACAAATATAATATGAATTTGGATCTCTGTGTTCTTTACAGTTTCTTTCCCTGGCTCTCTATGTGTGCTTCTCAGAAATATTTCCCTCCCGGCTTCTAGAGTGCAGCTTCTCTCCCTGCAGCTCACCTAAAGAGCAGCAGCCTTTGCACACGTGCCTCCCAGGCCAGGACCCACTCCTCAGCACCCTTCTTCCATCAGAACAGTCACTGTCCAAGGACGGCAGCGCTTTCCTTAACTAGTTCATATTCCAGTTCATGGCTTTCTTCTACCAGCTTCCAGGCCAGTTCCCATCCATTGTGATCAGCCCCATCAGTTCCTGTCACCTTCGTCAAGCATCTGCCTTCATGGAGTCCTTAGATCCCATGACTCTACATTGTCCATCATGTCACACCTGTCCTCCATCACTACAGTATCTCCAGCCTCTTTATCTTTCACCCCTGTCATCAGCTGTCTCCTCCCCTACAAGACTCTACAATCACAAAAGTATTCACATCCCACACTAAGAAAAATTCCCACTTGTGAAGGACCTCTCCAGTGTGCCAAGTGTTCTGTCTAGTACTTCCTTGAGGACAACCAATACGTAAAACTTAGAAATTATATCCCGTCTCTCATCTACCGTGGCCACTCTGAGACAACACATGAAAGGCCTGCACGTCTTCCCCTGGATCCTGGGGATGAACCTTATCCAAACTGTCCCTCTGTCTCATGTTCCTCTATAGGTTTCCTTCCTGTGACAACAAGTGGTACAGTAACTGCTGAAATGAGAAAATGTAAAGGACTTCATGTGCTGGGTACTTTGGAAGGCACAGAAACAGAAGACAAAATGGCTCTGACTTTATATAGCTGATGACATAAAAAGAAGAAACTTGATAACCAAGAATAATTATAAAACCAACAGCATGACACACTGGGCTAAACTATGACCGCTTTCATTGTTCTTTTCACATGGATTTTCATTGCTATCATGCATCCACATGTCCTGCACTAACCTCCAAGTTCCCACCCTCATTCTGGGGGTCTTGTCAGCTTTCATCCCACAGATCCCAATGGCTGCTGGTCACAGTCCGTAACTGTCTATCAGTCCTCAAACTCAACATAGCTGAACCACCCAAAGCCATCCCACATTCTCAAACACATGAATATTCTCAAAATATTCTCAGCATACAAAATCTCTGGAAATACAAGCACACACACAAAAATGCTAAAATTAAACACAGAGCAACAACAGCTAGGTTAGACATCTTTATTTCACAGTTTATTTTTGTGAAATAGTATATGAAAGGCCAGATTCCAGACTCATGTAGGCATCACTTCAAATACTAAAGGCACAGAGTGGCCAGATCAGTGGGCTAGCATTTTACTTTGCAGGTGCAAAGGCCCGGGGCTCTACCTCTTGAATCACAGATAAGAACTCTTACAGGCTCCTCCTTGTACATTTCCCAGTACACTGTGTTCAGTGAACAACTGTTTCCTTACCATGAGCATCTGTCAGCAAGCATGTGCTGACTGTCTCCCATAACGACACTCCAGCACTGTGTTCAGTGTTTTGGTTTGGTGTTTTTTTTTGGTTTTTTTTTTTTTTTTTTTTTTTTTTTTTTTTTTAATGCTTTTGTTTTGTTTGGGGACAGTGTCTTACTATATAGCCCTAGCTGGCCGAGGAATTCTCTATGTAGACCAGGCTGGCCCCACACTCACAGATATCCACCTGCCTCTGCCTCCCGAGTGCTGGGATTAGAGGTGTGTGCCACTGCATTTAGCAGAAGTTTTTAACTTCAAAAGTCTTTTTTAACTTTATGTCCATCCTAATTAAAACAACTCTTTTATTTTTATTTATGTGTCTGTGTGTGGCTATGTGCATGTGAAGGTATGTCATCAGGGAAGTGGGAAGAAGGCATCAGATATCCTGGAGCTGGAGATACCAGGCAGTGTGAGCTGCCCCATGTGATGCTGGGAACTGGACCATCAATGCCAGTCTACAGTCTACTTGGAGAACACACATTCCCAGCCCCTCCATATTCTCTGTAGACCTGTGGTAAGCTACTCCTGAGGTATCCTCCTCATGTGGTGGTCAAGGACAGCTACTTACAAATCACCAAAGGGGAACAGAGAGCACACTAAGCCTGCTCACTCCACATCATGATGCTGGAACAGAATCAGAAGGCCCTGAATACAATCCCAGCTAGTCGTCTCATCACACATATGACAAAAGTACATCTCTGGTACTCCCCAAATGTGCAGGTCAATGCACCACCATCTCTCCACGGGTGCTCTGCACAGACGATCTTACCTTGTCCACAGCTGACACCTTAGCCCCCTTATCCAGCAGCAGCTCCACCACTTCAATATTTCTCATCTTGGTGGCCTTTAGCAGTGGTGTCTCACCATCCTGTAGGCACAGACAAGGTTTAAAGAACAGGGTTTTCCTTTACTTCGGTAATTCTATATTCAAATATTCTGAAGAAAACATAATTTACAAACTGACCAGGAGGTGCTTTTCCTTTCTCAACTAGTGATTTGAATGGAGATAACTATATTAGTAACCTTTATATCAGAATTACAAATATATTTTCCCCATAGAATACCTAACTACAACCACCAAAGTCTGTTTCACATGATTTGAGTGAAGCAGAAATGGCTGATGTTGGGAACCAACCACAGCTCACAGAGGCTGTTTAAAGCAGATGTGTTCTGCATTCCAAACCGAGCGTAAAGAACCCAGAAGTAGCAACCTCTTCTTCACAGCTTGTGACTAACAGATAGTGTGTTTTCTGACACAGGGTGTCATCGTTGCAACTCTAAAACCATTCAGCTCACAGAACAGAACATCATCTATACCTTTGTGCATATTTCAGTGTCAGGATTGCACTGCAGAATATCTCTCACCATTGTGGCATTTCCCTTTTCAACAGCCCAATACAATGCAGTCTTATTGTCCTATGTAAAGAAAGAAAACCAAGTAAGAGACAGTATTAAAAACCTGCTCTTTGTGAATATAGAGAGGTGGGAGGTAATATCAATCTACATGACTCCTAGGATTTACTTTTGAGAAACTCGTTATAAAATGGTCCAAGAAAGACTCAGTACTACGGAAGTAAGAAGTGTCAGCCACAGAGCTGCTAAGTTGGGCTCTGCTCTGTTTCTGTGCTGCGGGGGTGGAGCCCAGGACCACAGTCCTGAAACACACTTGTATGATGCAATCAGATTCCAGGAGAGAAAACAGGTTAGAGGTCACCAACACCTGAACTCTGCTCTTTTGAACAAGTCATTATTAAACATGCTGACCCAGGCAATAGCATATGTGTGTCCACCTCTCCTGAATGGTGAGTAGGAATGTGTTCGAACAAACACAGGCATTATTGTTTGTTGCTTTCTTAACCTAGACGCACCAATACTCTATCTGCTTGAACAGATCCTTCTGCAACCTGTCTGGCTCTTCTGATTCACACAGACCTGGAAAGCGGAGCTAGACAGCATCAATTAAAACTGATTAAAAATAGATGCACAAGAATGATAGACACAGAGCAATCAGTGGCCTAAAATAGGTGATCCAGGAACCATCTATTAGTGAAAATCCGCCTTTAACTGAGAAGACAACTCCTGTAGCTGCCACCCTAGGTTTCCTATATCAATATGTCCCTAAGGGAGTTCCCAGCCTAAGAAATGTGTCCAAGCTGCCCGGCTCTTAGTGTGCCACTCACACATCTCCAGCACTGCTTCTCTTTCTATTCCCATCTCTCTTTCACCCCACCATCAGTGACAGGCTGATTTTCCATAGTTACGTAGTCTTTTCCTCTCCATTCTTGATCTTTCTCACACAGTCACCACTGTGCCTCCCTGAAGCACCCTGCCTTCCTTTCTCCTACATGCTGAAACTCAGTCCATTGTCAAATGTAACTCCAGTGAAACTCAGTCCATTGTCAAATGTAACTCCAATTCTACCTGCCTGTGACGGCTTTCCTTTGTTTCCTCTTTCTCTATATCAATGCTCAGTTTATTTTAAAAAAGTGTGTGTGTGTTGGGGAAGGGCCTAGGCCTGGCCCAGGATGATGTGGTAGACTTTGGGGAGCCCCTTTTGAGGGCCTTACCCTGTCTGAGGAGTGGAGGGGGGATGGGTAGGGGCAGATGGGATGTTGGAGGGGAGGGGAGGGAGAGGGAGAAGGGATTGACATCTGAAGCAAGCTTGTTCCTAATTTGAACTAATAAAATAAAATAAAATAAAGATCAAAATAAAAAAATGTGTGTGTGTGTGTGTGTGGGTGTGTGTGTGTGTGTGTGTGTGTGCATGCACTGGTGAGTGCAAATGTACACACACACTTATATGGAAGCTTGGAGACCAGAAGAGGGTGTCAGCTCCCTTGGAGCTGGAGTTAAGGCAAGCTTGAGCCACCCAGCATGGATGCTGGGAACTGAACCCCAGTCCTCTACAAGAGCAAGCATCCTTAACCAATAAGCCACCTCCATCCCCTTGTTTTATTTTTTGAGGCAGATTTTCACTACACAGTCGAGAATGGTGTGAAACTTTTTTACTTGTATCTGAATTTAAGTGGACATTAATTCTGGAACTTTAGAATAGTGGCAATAAAACATAAAAACAACAATAATACACAACCAATGCCTTTGGACATACATTTATCTCCACAGAAAGTAGGAGGAGAGACATCCTGACTACTTGACACATGTGTTCATGGTACCCACAGTCTAAGTGTACATACCTGCCCTCTGATGTCTATATCAGCATATTTTTGGAGAAGTGCTCGAACAATTTCAACATGACCACCTCTAACAGCACCAATCAATACAGTATCCCCACTCTGTAAAGGCAAAAAAACAAGGTCTGTTAGTAAACAAATACACATGTTCTGAAATTAAGGTTCCTTACTTATTAATATAGTAGATTTGTTCTAAAAACCTCTTTGAAAAAGAGTAGCACTAAAGTGAGATTTTAAATTAACTGATACTATCTGATATTAGCAACCCTCTGAGTAAGAGAGAGAGGACATTAGTCCTTAGAATGAGGACTCATGATGTCCCATGATGGAAACTTAAAAGACAAATTACTAAGATGGAATCTAGTCTCTTTGAAGGTAATTTCCCATCACACAGATAACTGAAATCACAGAACACTGGCTGGCAGTTTGGATGTTACATAATAAGTTCCCCTCAAATAATATCATGTCACAAAAGCAACAGGTTCTAAATTAGGAGTGCAGAGCTGGCGTACTATTGTGCCTCTAAAGGACAGCAAGGGCTGGTCCCAGAGTGGTATCTGTGGATACAGCCAGTGGGCCCCAGGCTAAAAACACACAGACATCATCTTCCTGCTGCACAAGAACTGAACAAGGTAAATGCCTCACAAGCACACTTCCTCAGATGACATTCAACCAGCAACTGCCATTTGAATCACAGCTTCCCACACTTCAGACTCATTTTGCCATGGGCTCAAGTATCTGTTATTTCATTACTAAACAGTAGATCAGCTATAGATGTCTGTGTTAAGTCAGCCCATGAGCTATTGCATGCTTTGGTTCTGAGGCCCCAATATGCTGCATGTCAACTACTCCTCGAGAGCTACAGGTTAGCACTGGGGTGCAGTATCTTTGATGCCCCACTAACAGCTTAAATAAACCCAAGGCATACCAGTTCTAGTCTGGTAAGCAATGGTATGGGTGAGAACCAGTACATTGATAAGGAACCCATTTCTCTGTTCCATTTTAAACTGGAAACAAGATAAACAAGGTCCCAGCTCTAAGAAAGACAACATATACTAAAATAAATAAACCAAGACAAACACTATACAGATAGAATAGCATATCCCATCAAAAGTAACTGAACTGGATAGTTAAAGATGACCTTTTAGACTAGGCAGATGTAACTAGAGAAGAAATGACAAACAGGAGCTACCATGTGCAGCCAGCATTCTTGACTAAGGGCACAGCAGGTACACATGGCCCTACCCCACAGCAGGACAAGATCAGTGTGCAAAAACAAAACAAAACAAAACAAAACAAAACAAAAAAAAAAAAACAGAAGGGACTTATTGGGCTGCAACCTCCTAAATGGGACAGTGTGACATAAAATAAGGACAAGGACTCAAGTAAGGATAATGACATACAGGACCCATAAACTAAAACTGGAGTATGTATCCAAAGGGTAAGAGAAAGCCTTGGATGACTTCAACAAAGAAATGCATGCATTCAGAAGCATGCAGACATAAAGCAGAGGCAACAGAGAAGTTTGTTGCATGCATGCATTCAGAAGCATGCAGACATAAAGCAGAGGCCACAGAGAAGTCTTTTACAATTCGTTTTAACAGGATAAAGTGGCTTAGGCCTGGGAGGGCAAGTTTTATGTGAGTCAACAGAATGGTGTGGGGTAGGTAAAGGAAAGGTAAAGCAGAGAGTAGGTAGCAGTATCATTTGCTGAGATGGAAAAAATTGAGGGGAAAATGGCTCCAGGTATTTAAACAAAAACAAAAGCCCCACTTCCATTTTATTTTGCTATAAGTTTTTCTGTTTTGATTTTTGGGGTCTTTTGTTTATTTGTTTTGTTTTTTTGGTTTTTTTTGGTTTTTTTTGAGACAGGGTTTCTCTGTAGGTTTGGAGACTGTCCTGGAACTCTCTTTGAAGACCAGGATGGCCTCAAACTCACAGAAATCCACCTGCCTCTGCCTCCCCAGTGCTGGGATTAAAGATATGCGTGCAACCCCACCACCCAGCAATTTTGCTGTAAGTTTTAAAAGCTTACTAAATATAAATTCAAGTGGAGAGTTCTGAACATGTATGAGTAACTTCAGGGAAGAAGTCAGGCAAAAGAAAAAAAAAATCTTAAGTATAATGCAGTATTTAAGTCCTGCAACAATGAATAACAGCAGCCATGAAAAACACCTAAAGGGATGGTCATAAAAGAGAGTTACAAATTAACCACATGTCTGACATTTCCAGCAACAAAATTATTTAACAAAAATAAACTAGGCCTGGAAATCTTAACTTAATAGTTTCAAAGGCAGAAAGAAATAAATCTCTTAAAACAAGCTCATGTCCTATGTGAGTACAGCTATTGAGTTTCTTGTCTACTTCACCACCACAGATGAGTCTGAGAGGGTTCCCTACCCTGTCAGGTATGTTCACGTATGTCCCAGCATCCAGCAGGTCCTGTACAATCTCTATGTGTCCCTCCTTTGATGCAATCATCAAAGCAGTGTTCCCATCTTTGTCAGTCAGGTTTACATTAGGATTCCTCTTCAAAATCTCTTTCACTGACTGTGTGTAGCCGCCTTTCACTGCCACAATAAGTGCAGTCATCGAATTCTTCAAAGAAAAACAAAGAAATTAGTATGTTTTAGAAAACATATTATGTATGCCATAATCAGAAAATGATTTCCAATTATTAACAGTTGTGGGGGCAGTGGGCTGGCTCAGTGGTTAAAAGTATCTGCTGCTCTTCCAGAGGACTGGAGTTTGATTCCCAGCACCCACAATGGGTGACTCACAACCATCTGTAATTCCTGCTCCAGGGAATCTGCTGCCCTCTTCTAACCTCTGCAGGCACTCCCATTCATATGCATATATCCACAGGTGAACCCAGACATATACACATAATCTAGGGCCTTGAGCATGGTAGGTGAAGGCTCCACCACCATAATAATCCTCCAGTCATTAAAAGTTATTTCCAATTGGGCCACCAAGAAGGCTTAGCTTATAGAGACACTTGCTGCCAAGCATGATGACCTGTTTGATCCTCAGGACCCATGTGGTAGAAGGGGAGAACCAATTCTCACAAGTTGTTCTCTGAACACCACATGTGTGCAGTGGCATATATGTACCCCCTTCCAATAAATAAATACACAAAGGTATTAAATTTTTAAATGTTAGTTCTGACAAAATGCCAATATAAACAACCAGACATATGCCAAAAGTGGCAGGAAGCATATGTTCAGGTTTCAAAACAAATTGTTCTTTATATCTTTTTCTCTGCGCATGTATATACATTTATGTGGACATGTGGAGGTCAAGTCATAGGAGTTCATTTTCTCTTTGCACCGTGTGGATTCTGAGGACAGAACTCAGGTCAACAGTCTTAGCAGCAAGCACTTTATCCACTGAGCCATCCTGTATTTTCAGTTTTCAAAGATACACTACTTCTGTTGAGTCATTAGACTATCTGGAGGTTCAGTTCTTTCAATGATAATGTGCTCACTTACAGGGAACAAACCCTTTACAGATGTACAAGGTTGAAAAAAGGACTCAAAATTCAACACTTTCCAATTTAAATAATCCAAAGTAAAATGGACCAAACTTGAAACTAGGAGTTTTTTAATGATAAAATGTTTAGGAAAAACTACAAATGATAAATTAAGAACTAGAGCCTGTAGGGGAAGCTGTAGCCACGCCTACTTAGGGGCTGGCTACAGCTTCCCCTACAAGAGTCTATCTCAATAAATGTTTAATAAATGATCTTTAACAGCACTTAAAAGCCCATTAACATATTCTAAGTAGCCCTTTAAAATACTGAACATGTTTCTCACATATTAAAACAGAATTTTTCATCATTGAATTATCACAATAGCAAGCTGCTCATCTTCTTGATAACTTGGGAGAGAGGCCAGTAGACCTGGGACCTGCTGTAGCTCCAGCAGGATGAACACTGCCTTGAAGGCCATCATGGAAGAAAGGACACGCTGGACACCATTGCTCTAGGAAGTTTAGCATGAGCTACACCATTTAACTTGGCCACAGGTGTCCAGAAATTTGGTGTTATCTCCTCTCAGACTCCATCATGAGCTGTCTGACATAAGATAATAATCACGCAAGTAGTAGTCCTTGGTACTTTAAAAGTGCTTACTGCACACAAACATTAGTTTCTGAAACATTCTTGGATCTCTAAGAAAAAGCTTTTTGTGAGGCTCCTTGTGGCTCTCTGGCACTCTTGGCACAGGTGAGGTACACAGTTGGTGTTCAATAACAAATTAATAACTAGTAGTCAGTTAAACTGAACCAACTGCAACGGTTCATGTCTGATGTCCGTAACTGTTTATTAGACAGGAACAACACCTTACAGCAAACAACCCACAGAGTCCAATGTCACTTTAAGAAAAGGCATTTTAATAGAGCATGTTTTCCTACAATTACAATTAAAAACCAGCTTGGCATGGTGGCACATAACTTTTGTTCTAGCTCAGGAGGCAGAGGCAGGAGGATCTCTGTGAGTTCAAAGCCAGCCAGATCTACATTGCAAGTTCCAGGACAGCCAGGATACATAATGAGATGCTATCTCAAAAAATTTTTTTTTAATTAAAAAGGAAAAAAAAAAGTGGGATGGCTACTTGACCTGAAGAAATTTTTTTTTTTTTTTTTTTTTTTTTTTTTTTTTTTTTTTTGGCAAGGGGTTTTTTTTTTTTTTTTGGTTTTTCGAGACAGGGTTTCTCTGTGTAGCTTTCTAGACCAGGCTGGCCTCAAACACACAGAGATCTGCCTGCCTCTGCCTCCCAGGTGCTGGGATTAAAGGTGTGCGCCACCACCACCCGGCTTGACCTGAAGAATTTTTAAGTTTACAAGATTATTGAAAGTTATTCTTCATGTTGTCAGTTTCCAAAAATTTGTGTACATTAGCAACAAACCCTCAAAGGCAAATATGTATTGTTTTTCTTATCACTACATGCTTATTTCCAAAGTCAGTATCACTTAAGGAGTCCCAGCACTTGGCAGCAAAGGTAGGAAAGTCTGGGCTACATAAAGAAGTCCTATCTCAAAACTAGAAACAAAAAACCATTTAAGAACTCCAGGGAAATTTTTCTAGACTTGTACTATTCCCTTCAAGAAAAAATTTCCCTACTAGATGGGCTAGGAGAGGAGAGGTACTTACGGCTCCTTCTTGATCAACATCGGCTCCCATGGCCAACAAATGCTTCACACATTCCAAATGACCCTTTCGGGCTGCCCACACCAAAGGGGTTGTTCCATACTGTTAAAACAGGCAATGAACTCAAAATTACCTTCCGACACATACTAAAAGAAAGCAGCTCATAATGAAGCTATATTTTGAGTATTCTTAGATAAATATTTATACCAGGTCATAATTTCAGTCCCAGATTAAAAACCCATGTCCCTCATCCTTTTGTCCTGAGTAGTTAGTCATTTTGTATGAAATGTCTTTTAATCAACTTTATTTAGCTTTTCTAATCAAGATAATCTTTCCACCATAGTCATACAGTCCCTAATTTTCAATAGGCATTCACTGTTTCCTATATTTTATGATATAATGTGAAGTCTAATGATGTAAAAGTTAGCAACCAAGTGTCAAGCACAGCTCAGACAACTTAATATAGTTAAAGTGCCTGGTCTGTATCACAGAGTAAGCCCAGTTCATAGGATCACATTTTCACACAAGAAAGTGAGGCCCCAAACCGGGTCAAAGTCACAAAATTATCAAGACGCAGAAAAAGCCAGGAAGTGGTGGCACACTCCTTTAATCCTAGGACTTGGAAGGCAGAAGCAGGTGGATTTCTAAGTTCAAAGCCAGCCTGGTCTACAGAGGAGTTCCAAGACAACCAGGGTTACACGGAGAAACCCTGTCTCAAAAAACAAACAAACCAAAAAAAGAGGTAGAAAAATACCTACAGAACCACCAAGCTTCCAGATCTGCATGCACTCTTTTTTTTTTTTTTTAGAGTTACATATTTCCTTTCTTTTTTTATTATCATTTCTTTATTTGAATTAGAAACAAGATTGATTTACATGACAATCCCAGTTCCCTTCTCCCTCCCTTCCTCCCCTACCACCCCCCCAACTAAAACCCTACCTATCACATATCCTTTCTTCTATTCTTCACCTGACTCAACCTTTCTGCTCCCTCATGACCTCTGCATCCTTGCTCTTCTTCCCTTCTCATTCTCATAGCTCCCTCCCCCCTCTTCCCATGTTCTCAATTTGCTCAGGGGATCCTGACCCTTTCCCCTTCTCCAGGGGACAATGTTTGTCTCTTTTAGGGTCCTCCTTGTTTACTAGTTTCTCTGGCAGTGTGGATTGTAGGCTGGTAATCCTTTACTCTATGTCTA